AAATTTCCTGCTAATTCCATGAGGACATGTTGGCATCAGAATATTCCAAGAAAAAGCGTGGAGGGTTGAGTCACTTACATTCCCACTCCACTGACTTACTCTCCACGATGAGAGTCTAGGCATGGAGTACCTTTCTCTCTTCCATAGACATGCCAAGAGCAAATGATAATAATAACTTCAGTGTGTTAGCAACTCTAGGTCAGGCTCAAGGGTGGGGGGAAGGAATGGAAAGGTGGGAAGCATAAAATACTGCACAAAAACAAAAATGCCTTTTTCACACTTCACATCCAAAGAAGCAGAACCACAGCTGTGTAAGGAAACTAGTAGTACAGGTGTGCTACCTAATTCATTCAGGTATGCAGTCACATACAAAGAATACAGCCAGTGCCATGCACTACAGACACTCATATCTTACAGTTATGGAGAGGGAAGCAATCCCTCATTTTAATTCACGCTTTCTGGGCCTCAGAATTTCAAAGACCAGCTCGGATCCGACCATCGACATATATGTCCCAATTCTTAGTATACCAATTGAAGATATTAATACCTACCCACTCTCCTATCATCATCATTTCATAAAATAAGTGACATCTGCATCAGAAAAACAAGACAAAATATAATAATGTACAGTATATTAAACTGAATATTTATATCCACAAAAAGTCCTTATTACCTTTCTTTTTCTCATTCTTCAATGCTCCATAAAAAACTCCTTCTCAGACTGGCACTGATTCACACCAAACTATTCATTTCCAAACAAGGGAACTGAGGCAGAAAATTTACCAAAGGCAATACAATCTGTCAGCTGCCGAGTTGGGTCTAGAACTCAAGTCCTAAACTCTCAATGGGTGTTTTCTACCATATTACACTGTTTTTTTTAAAAAGTGTATTCGTTCTCAAAAAGTTCAAAATAGTGGTGGGAGACTGTACACAGACATACTAAGGTTCTAATGCGATAAAGGCCTTGAGAGACGTACAGTGGCCCAGAAGGTCTAAGCGCATAGAGCTCACTTGCAGCTGAAAATTAAAAATAAAGACCATAGGAAGTCGTGTTTTCACCAGACTTGAGGAATCCAGACAGAAGAGGCTGGGCAAAGGAATTCCTGGAAAAGACAGCTATATGCAAAAGCAAGACAGCTAAAGTTCATTAATAAAAATTTACCTAATTACTGCACTCCTCTAGATGTGTAATGAGAATAATGAGAAATGACCTAAAGTGTAGCTAGTGCCTAACCACAGAAGACCAGAATGGACTATACTTTACTGTCTGAGCACTAAGGAGCAACTGGACAATTTTAACAGATAAGTGCTAAACTTAGCCCTGTGCTAACTTTACCTACCACTGATGCATGGGATGGCCTGTAGTCCATGTGACCTGACTGGGAGATCCCAAGGTGCAGGGATGTCAGGACCAGAGCAATGACAGTAGCAATCATTGGAAAGAAGAAAATGCTCTGCAGTAGTCTAGAGGAAGACTGCATGTGAAGAAGCAGATGTCAAGTCTGGGAGACAAGAACGGAGTCACCAGGTTTTAACAATGGAAAGAATGGGAAAGATCAAAAATGAGTAGAAGAACTTGGAACACTTTGTTTATCAGCAGCAAAGCACAATGTTTCTAACTTTTAAGTGTGAACTTGCTAAAAATATATTAGTCTAGAATACTGTAGAAAATATGTAAATGCTTACAGACATAAACATTCTAATAATTTTCAATATTTGCCTCAGTTTGGTGACAATAAATTGCTCTCAATCCTTGTTGAAAATCAAGCAGAAAAAAAGAATAAACTAGAATTCCAGAGCTATCAGAGACTTTGAAAAGTAGAGGCTAACTCCTCATTTTCTAGAAGAAGAACTGAAGCTCATAAAAACTTGCTCAGAGTGACACAGGTATCTATTGGAAAATGTAGAAGGCAAACCCACAGCTCCAAATGTCTAGTCCATTGCTGCCTATGCAACAGGTCACTGCTTTCACACTTCATTTCAGTTCCATTCCCTCTCGTTGACCTTCCTTCACTAGGTCAGTGGTTCCTCAGAACACTGAGGACCTACCACTGTCTTTTATCCTATCTACACTCACATAAGCCTCCTACTTATTTCCATTAAAAGAAAGGGATAAAGAAAGCAATTTTGTCATAAAATGTTGTTCTTATTCTGGAATATCAAGGGGAATAAAAACACAGGGAAGGGTGAATATAGCTTACAAAAGAGAGTAATTTCTGCCCCCTAATCTCCAGGCAAAGTCTGAAAATTACTGTTACATAACAACTTTGGACCTATAGGATGCAGACTTCAAGGTGCCTGGGGAAAGACCTGAGGTTATTTGGTTTTATTAGAAGATACTGTGTTGTGTTCAGTCATATCTACACAGCCAACGGGAATGTTAAACAATCATGCTTGTTGATTTATTTGGGGACTGGGGACTTGTTAAACAGGCAAAAGCTGTTATCGTGATCTCAAAACAAGCAGAACTGAGTACGACTCATCTATTTTGAATGTCAGCATGTCATGAATTCATCAAAATGACATGAGGACACAGAGATCAAAGTAGTTACCTTTTCATTATAATCCCTTCGAGAGCCAATGCAGTTCCTCCAATTCCCAACAACCTGCTTTTTCCATAATGTGAAATTTATTGTTTAAACTTACCTCTATCCCCCACTCTCCTCTGCCTATGTATACCCAGCCACGGGGCCAGGTAGGCTGACTATTATGAAGTGGATTACAGGTTTGTGTTGTTGATTGTATATGTGTGCCCCCATCTACTCCTAACTCTACCAGGCAGGCACATTTTCACACCAGGAAGCATAAAAAAACTGAAAGAAGTTAATACTCTATGAAACTTGGGGGGGAGAAAAAAGAAAAGAGAATGATAGTGCAGGTAGAGGACATAACGATATGCACTGAAAGCTATGGAGGGAAAGGATAAGGGGGAGTAACAAAGGGCATGAAACTGACCAAAGAAAGTATATTAACGACTGGAATACATCAAAAAACTTCTTCAAACACCAACTTTGGAATTAAAAATGAAAGAACTGTAAAATAGGTACAATGTGTGTGGGGGGGTGTTTTTGGGAGGAAAGAGGGTGAACCAAGATGAAGGTGACAGAATGTGGTTGATGGGCTTTATATAAATATATATATATACATTTCATATATTATATATATATATGAGATAAAATGATGAAACCTATTGCAATTGCTTTAAGTAGGATGGGGAAGGGGTTGAGCAGGGGAGATGGTGGGAGCAATCTAACTAACATACAATGTAAGGATATTCAGAATTGTCACACTGAATCCCCCCAGTACATGAATAAATGCTAGTAACAAAAGAAGGAGTTAAGAAACCTACTCAAGATCACACAATTTGTCAGTGGAAAGATCAAAAATCAAACAAGGTATACCTTTTGTCAAATTATTGTAATCATGGCATTTGCCCCCACCCAGCTTAGACATAGACAAAATATTTATCAGAGTGAGATGTGCTCAGAACACTGAGTGGAACACTGGAATACTGTTATGACAGAAAGGGACTTCAAGTCCCCATGTTTGGTCTCTTTTATTATCAAAGTGAGTGGCAGCTTCTGACTTTCACTGTGTTTTACAATAATGGCTCCCCTGTCCTCTAGAACTCACCTCAATGAGGCAGTGGGATGTTTATTCTTCAGTGTTCTCATTTGTTCTATAAACAAAGTCCTAAAACTGGAATGTACGACGTCATATCACTGCCTTCATAAGAAACTAACAATTAAATTGTAACTGAGGTAGACTTAATAAAGTGCTATCAGTTATTCCAAGAAACTGGACTCTTACTCCTCCTCTTTTGAGTCATAGTCAATCCCAAGGTTCCAGTTGTCTCAAATGCCATGACCATTTTGCTGCTGCATCTTGTATCAGAGCTTCAAAAATCTTACTAAAGTTTTCTGTATGGGACATCCTTGGCCTCTGTAATTTTATTATACAAGAAGTTTAAGAGAGCTTAATCATTTTTAAATAGCACTCTCTACCTTAGATCAAATATGACATTCACAAGGATGGTTACAATAATAGCTGGAGTTGGGAACACTTTACAGCTGATGAGAAAGTCTGACAATCATAGGGTACCTAACATTTACTGGACTAAGGGGTTGTCATACAGCAAATTCATCTGAAGGTAAAGAGCATCTAAGGACTACTAGCCAAATACACCATGAAAGATATAAACACCCTTTCTATGTGAGCCAAAAATCACAAAACTCACTGTCAGCTTTCTGGCACATAGTAAATAAATGTTTTCCTCAATTGCTTTGTGCACAAAACAAAGTAGCCAATATAAAAGGCATTGAGTATAATAGCATAAGTTCATCTCATTTCAAGCAAGCCCCAAATAAAAGTATGTTGATTAATAAGAAAGATAAAACAAAAATCTCTTTGTTTGGGGAAATGATTTACAGGATTCTTTTAAACTAGGAAATTTGTCAAAATAGAAAGCACAACTTATAAAAATGGGATAAACACATAAAAACGTACAGAGCATGGGGTGTAGCTGGTGATCACAAGAGGTAAATTTAGTATGAAATTGTAAATGGCAGTGTTGAGTCTTAAATAGTTTAAGAGGCTTGATGACTTTGATGTAGCCTGATGGAGGCTATCCAGAAAGCCAGCTAAGAGGGAAAGCATGAAACAAACCTCAGTGCTTTCAAAGGAATTCCAAATGCAGAGGATTACTTGCCAAGATGTAGTGGAGATCGTAAACATGGGTATACAGAGACATGAGGATAACATAGACATGAGGTATGGTCCTCTTGATCAAGGATCTTGTCTCTGATCTAAATGCAGACCACGCCACCTGTCACTAGGCATCACCATATGATCATCACCAATGTCCTATGGGTACCGCAAGACTAGTGCTTCCCGTTCTGACCTTCAGTGCCACCGAGAAAGAACAAGCATTTCGTACTAAAAGCAAGACCATGCTTCTTTAAAAATAGATACACAGGATATTTTCAAGGGTAGCCTCTCACCTGCTGGTTCTGATAGGCTGTGACTGTGGTGAACACCGTCTCGGGAAAGTTGAATGTTTTCACCCCATCCCCCACAGGGACAGGCTTGGTGGGTGAAAGGTCGCTGCTGAAGTCCTTACGAATCACGTGAACTCGAGGCTGGTATTTGTGCATAGAGTGCAAAATGATCTGAAGTGAGAAGAGAAAACATTGTGCTGTGTTTAGCTTTAGGTCTCTCCATTGGACTGGCAGAGTGGCTCAAGTGGTAGAGTGCCTGCCTAGCAAGCGTGAAGCTTTGAGTTCAAATGCCAGTACCACCAAAAAAAACTAATTAAGAGCTCTAGATCTTTTCAAGTTCTCATGCAAAATAAATCACAAGATGGAAGCATTATAGGAAGAAGACAGATTGGGGATGGGACCAAGAAATCAGAAATCAGCATACTTGCCCGTGGAAGAAAGGACTAAGGCATTGGATAGCATTACATGGAACCATATAGCAAGCTATCCCTAGCATGGGTGGTAGATGTAATGTACTTGTTTTAATTGGGGAATTGATGAATAACTGTTTTAGTACCAAAAGATAACACTCCACTCAAAATTCTGAGAACCTCTGCCATGTGATAAGTTGTTCCTTCCAGCTTCAAATTTTCAACATGGCTCCATGCTGTCTCTAAATTCTGCACATTATTATTTATGCTCATTATTGAATTCATGGGCATTCTTTTATGTCATGTGAGTGTGAGTAATGTATGTGTGTTCTCACTTCCTCAGAAAATTGTCATTTCCTTAAAGAAAGAAGTTATAGTTTTAGCTTCTTCAATCTTTCCATAGCAACCAGTGTGGATGCTGGTAGTGAGTGAAAATTCAGTTCGTGTTTTATCACTAGAGATAAATCAATAATATCAGTTGCTTCCAATATCCCTGCAGAGCCTTAAGATGTAGTCTTCTCTTATAAATTCATAAATTTCTTAACGAGTCAGCCAAAACTGTCCTTCCTTCACTTCTTTCCCTGAGTTTACTGGCATTGTCTAATTTGTCTTATGTTTCTGTCTTGCCTCTTGATGAAACTGCAAATCCCTAGAGCAAAAGGACTTTATCTGATAAGCATAAGCTGATACATTGCAGATGTTTGCTAAATGTTAGATGTATAATAAACAAAATTGAACTGGAGAAAAAACTTTTATGCGTACTTACTTTAAATGACTTAAACTGGCATAAAGATTCTTAGCTTATCTATTTGAAGGAGCCTGGTCGGCTCTAAAGCAAAGGAGAAAGAAGGAGGAAAGGCAGAGTATGATTGACTCACATGGCCTTGATCATCCAGTTCATTGTTGGTCAGCTTGAGTTTGTCGAAACTGACCACCTGCCTCATCCAGGTGTCTCCAGAAGCTAGGGAATCGGGGTGTATATAAACCCTGGGAGGCACAGGAGAGTCAGCATTGCCAGCTACCATCCACTTGGAGCTATGATACACATATCTGGGATGGAGAGGGAGAAAGGAAATTTCAGAGAGATATAGAGATGCCCAAGAAAACGAGTAGAGACAGACAGGAATAAGGAGAGACAGAGATGACAACAGTGGAGAAGTAATAGGAATGACAATATAAATGGAAAAAACAGAGGGAAGAAAACAGGGGAAATGAGATAAGATGGAAATGGACAATGAGATGCGATGGGGGAGGGCACAGAAGTGTTGAAGTTAATGATCAAAGCTACAGCTCTCAAGAGGAAAACATTCTCACAGTCCTTTTTCTTTCTTCTCCTCTACTTCTCATGCACCCCTGTGTGCACACAGGCATCCAAAACCCACATGTCTAGCTAAGGGAAAGGTATTTTACTGCAACCTTTCACCTTTCAAATGCAAACCATATAATCCCTTGGCCACTTGTTCAGGATTTTGTTCCTTATTAAAAACATCTTCCATATTGTCCTATAAAATGTAGCCATGTGCAGAGACCCTCGCAGCCTCTCAGTCATTAACCATTTCCTTGCTAAGAGCCAGAATTCTGAGGCATTTTCTATGAAAATGAAGTGCAAGCATTCCCAAAAACATCATGAAATCTTCCCAGTTAGTGTTTGCTTTGATGAACCTGGTGTGGAAATTCATCGCCTTTCACATTATTTCTCATGAAGACACTGAACATGAGATGTTGATAACAGCAAAAGAAGTCAGCTTTCTGGACATTGCCAATTTTTCTGTTGTCCTCAGGATCTACCTCCAGGGATTGACACTTTGTTGTTTCTTAGTTCTAAAGGACCACATGGGTCCCATATTCCAGGAAAGAGAGGCACTCAGCCCAAATTACAACTCCCAAGATCTTCTAAAACAGACCAAAAGCATCTTCGCTCCTAAGTCTTACAATCTGGCCCATGTCTCTCCTCCTACCACACCAGTCCTGGATTCCCCATCCATCTCTCACTTCCAGATCCACAGGTGTAGGGCTAAGTTCTCAGAATTTATGTATTTTAAAAATAAGCCATGATTCACTGATTTGACTGAAGTCTCAAGTGATCAAATAAGCCACAACTTGTTCTAATAAGAACAACATGCAAGCCATCCAAGTGACTTGGAGACTCCATTGGCTTTTAACAATTTAAGGGAAAGTTATTTAGCAAACTCACTTATATCTGTAGGAAGGCCAATAATTCTCCCTAACTAGATGTTCTTCTTGAGGTTTTACCCAATTCTCCTATTCTCCATTATGTCTGGAGTCCCATCAGATGTATGATTGAATATACTGCACTGATTCCCTCATCCTACCTCACTTAGTATTTCACAAACCAAATCCTTCAATATGTTAGTAACTTTTAATGTTAACTGAATTAATTTCAGACCCAATACATGTTTAATTTTTGCTGCCCTGGTAATAAGATAAAATTCTATTCTGTCCAGAGACATAGGAGGATTTGAGACCAGACTGTTTCTGAGCCCTGATTTCCTATCTTTAGTTACTACTTTCTGCCTGGTGTTCTGCCATCAACCATTGGCATATCCTCTATCCTTGTTCCCAGTATTGTTAAAATGCTTCACCTAATGAGCTCAAAATCTGTCTTGGGATGTTGGTAATGTTCACAATCCACATTCCAGAGTTATTCTTACCTGTATCTTTTATTGTCCACAGGCACAATGTCCATTGCTATGTAGTACTGCTGGTGTGGGTCCAGGCCAGTGATTTTCACCCTCATGGCAGGAAACATCCTCCTGTGAAGGTGAAGAAGACAGTAAGCTCACAGAGGAGGAAGAATAGCAGCAGGAGTTGCTCACAGAATTCTCTTATTACATCTTCTGAGCACATCAAGGTCCAATGCCCTCTACTTCTCAAAGTTGGTTGATGTTTCTTTCACTTTGCAAATGATCATTACAAAATATGGTGGGGACTTATATTGCTGAAAAAGCATCTCTTCTTAACTTAAATTTGCCTATTTGATGATTCATACACTCAAGGATACCTTACCTTCCTTTACATTTTAAATTGATCTTTGATGTAACATACATGTGAGTATGTGTCAGTGTATGTATGCATGTATCCACACATACATTTCCTAGTAGCCATAATCTTCTTAAAGGTGGACCTAATCATTTATAATCTTACCCAAAGGGACTTATTACAATATATTGTAGGTGACATTAAAATTTTTGAGTGATGAGTTTATTTGAAAAGAATTACTCTAACAAAATGAGGGTGCTACTAGTCTCCAAAGGACCACCAAAGTTTTCTTCAATGCATTAAACTGTACAAAACTTTCTGCAAGTTCTCAGCTGTCGACGTGTGTGTCAGAGGAAGGACCCTGTGGAATAGGGAGCAAATGCCAAATGAATTCTAGTGGCCTCTGGGCAATACCTTGTTTCTACCACAATGGCTTGTTAAACTTGCCAAAGCAAGTGAGGTCAGGATATGGCACTTTACAACTTCTCTCATAATTGAAGAGAGGAGGAGGAGCAGCCCAAAAGAGGTATTGAGTTTCAACAAATCTAGAATGAAGTTTGCCATTCTTCTTTAGCCATAATAAAGAAGAAAAACATCAAGCTCTTTTGCATCAATCCAGACAAAAAAGTGCTCAGCTCAAAAACTGGGATTGTCCTGAATGTGCTCTAGGGTACTTGTATACAAAATGCCACATTAAGCTTAGCCATCTGGGGCTAGTTAGTCAAGCTGGGCAGAGCACGGTGCTAATGAGGTTAAGGTCACAGGCTTGATTCACATATGGCCTAATTGGCTTTGCTCCATTTCATGGCCATAGACCATACCCTGACCTCAGTCAGCAGTCTTGCAGATATGTACTGCTTGATTGCATGAGAGGCTCGCTATGCAAATCACACATTCACTGCCTATCCAGGAAAAGTAGCCCAAAAAACAAGTGTCATCTGGCAGTAACTTAGTGACATCATAGTCATATTTGAGGGACAATTGACCTTTTTAATTCTTAACTAGTTGCAGAAAATACTATATAACCATTCTTTTTTCCCACTTTATTACTTTACAAAGTCTTCTGTTGGTTTATAATTTTAGATTTTCTTCCTCTGACCTTACAAGTTTACTTAGAAAGCCTTATATTTCAGTCCTATGATGCGCTAATGAAATGTAATGGCAAGGGGACCAGGAACTAGAGAAAAGGTTAGATCAAAAAGAATTAACCTAGAAGGTAACACACACGCACAGGAAATTAATGTGAGTCAACTCCCTGTATAGCTATCCTTATCTCAACCAGCAAAAACCCTTGTTCCTTCCTATTATTGCTTATACTCGCTCTACAACAAAATTAGAAATAAGGGCAAAATAGTTTCTGCTGGGTATTGAGGGGGTGGGGGGAGAGGGGAGAAATGACCCAAGCCTTGTATGCACATATGAATAATAAAATAAAATAAAAAAGAAATGTAATGGCAAGTTACTCCTAACTAACATTCACTATGGGTTAGTCATTTTGACCTGCATTAATACTTCCAAAATTTTGAGAACCTTGGTCTATACATTTACATGCAGGTGAGTAATTTCCTTATCAATAACAATGAATTATAATGGTCCTGTGTGTATAAGTTATTGGAAAGCATCTTTCTGGCAATGAAGAGAAAGCCTCTCAATTACTACTGAAGGTGAAGGAATGTAGGTTCTCTCCGCCACCTAAAGAGGCAGAATTATGTTGAAAGAAATGAACTTCTGTTTTGATGACTTCAAGAAAAGGGATGTGATGTTTTTAAATTTAATACCTATTTTATCTGAAACCTTGAGGGAAGTGACCTTCAATGAAGAAGCTATCCACCTCTACCCAGTATTCAAATTCTAAAATTAATAAGCTGTGTGACTTTGGATAAGTCATTCAGCCCTATCAAGAAGACAAAGCAGAGAGACTAGATAATCTCTAAAGTACCTACCTGTTTTAAATTCTGTCCAAGTTTGAATATTTTTAAAATCTTTGAAACTAAAAAAGCCTTTCCTTTTTGTCAGTATTTTAGTTCATAATGTCAAGAGAAGTCATAATACTCTGGAGAAAAAAGTAGTCTTTCATATTTCACAAAAGATGTCTTGTGTTGGTTTTAATTCTGTGGCTAAATTTAGGACAATTTTTTTGGTCATCTAAACCCATTAATCCCTACAAGTACCTCTGTCCATGGTGCTGATTACACTAGTTGTGTTAATACATTAAAAAAATTTTTAATTTTTAAAAAATTTTAACTTTATCGTTTTTACATTTACTCACATAAGTATACATTGTTTGGGCTACCTCCTCCCTGCCACTACCCCTCCTTCTGGGCAGAACCTGTTCCGAAAAAATAATTGAAGGCTATAGAGACTGCCCTCATTCAGAATCAACAGGATTATAGCTTGGAGTGTAGGAAGAGATAGATGGTGACTAATATCTTCTGATTGATGAAAAAAGGACAGAGAACTATATGTAACTAACATAACTAAGAAACTGAAATAATTAAAATTGAAAAGGATACTGCATAGGAAGGAAAGTGAAGTGAGAAGAAAGAAACTGACATGGCAATGAGGAGGGATGAAGAAAATCCACAAAAGAGAAAGCTGTCTTGTAAAATTTCTGAGTTGTTCCAGAATTATCTGAGGTGTGTATTAGATGTATCAGCAACAGCAGATGGTGCAATCCAATACAGAAGCAAAGAATGTAGTTTCTAAACATAAGCAAAGGATTTCAGTATGACCAAAGAAGAAATCAAGGGTCTGTACTAGGAAATGTGTTGGTGGATTCAGGTATCAAAGGGAGTTGTTGAAATCAGAGATGTGCAGAAGAAATCATGAAATGAGTAACAAGAGAGTTGTCAAAAAGGTGCTCAAATGAACTGAATTCACTAACGTACAGAGATGGGGGAATGATGTCAAGAACGAGACGACAAGAATTCACAAATCCAACAACAAAGTGAAACCCCAAAATAATAATCAGAAAATCTGTAGACAAAAAAAAATATGTCATATACCACCTCTTTCCAAACCAACCTCCTTACCAAAAAATGAAGAGTAAAAATTTAAAGATAAAAACATTTTCTTTGGACTGGTAGAGTGTCTCAAGTGGTAAAACACCTACCTAGCATATATGAGGCCCTGAGTTTAAACCCCAGTACCGCCAAAAAAAATGTAAAAAAAAACATTTTCTTTGAACTGCTTTGTTTCTTACCAGATTTAACACTATAAAATGTAGAAGATGGGAATACTAAAAGCTAAGCCATAAGAGATGACACCGAAAGTAATTTTCCTTCAAAGTAGCTCCTTCTAAGAAAGTAAACCACCTCTTGGTGGTTTAATTCACTACTGAAACTTAAAGAAGGACGAAGGCTGCATAAGAGAAAGAAAATGAGCAAAATTTCTCATTCACTTTAACCTCATATTTTTGTGGCATCTTATTGTATTGGGACATGTCTTTATGTACATGTATGTAAACTGGACCCAATGAAAATGTTCTTTTTCTTAAATGGCCATGCTCTTGAAAACAGCTTACAGTGTGGTAGATCTTCTCCAGTCCCATGGCATATGAGTCTATGTATACTGGGTTTGAAAATTATAAAAAAGCATCATTGTTTGCTCAGTTTCAATTAACTACTACTATATACTCCAAAGTTTAATCCAAGTTTGGTTTTATCTAAATAATTTTCATTTTAATCCAAGGGGCATGAATACAACCATTTCTTAGTGGTACAGAGTTATAAATAGTTCATACCAATACTTTAGAACTACACAGATTTATGTAGAATTCTGAAGCTACATCTTACTACCTCATGTTAATTAACCCCCATTTACTCTTTGCATCCATGGATGGCATGATCATATCCTGTGATCATAGGTTTCCTTCACAGGATTCCTCTAATGCTTAAATGACACAATATATATTGAGTGTCCAGCACATAACAGATAACTGGCTATGGAAAACTGAAAGATGCCAATAAAGGAATTGCTTAACTAACAGTGTCTATTTCAAGAGAAATTGTATTTTAAATTTTTAATTATCCTAGTATTTATCTATGTTTTGCAAGAAATTCCACAAATCACCATTAAAGTTTTATAATAATTTTAAACCAACAATAAAACACCATGGATCAATAAGTAGGGCTCAGAAGGTGTGCAGAATCCAATTCTTTAAAAAGTATCCAGTTGTTCTAAATGCCTTAGAAGATATGAGCTGTTCACTGGAGAAAAGCCTCTTCAAGAAATGGTGTTGGGAAAACTTGCTATCTACATGCAGAAGACTGAAACTAGACCACTATCTCTCACTCTATTCAAAAATCAGCTCCAGATGGATCAAAGGTCTAAATGTAAGCCCTCAAATTCTGAAACTACTATGGGAAAACTCTGGAATATAGAGGCATAGGTAATTGTTTTCTAAATAGGATCCCAATATCCCAATAAATAAGAGCAAGAATTGACAAATAGGACTGCATCAAATTAAAATGTGTCTGAACATCAAAAGAAAAAAAATACGAGAATCAAGAGACAACTTACAGAATGGGGAAAACCTTTGTCAGCCATTCAATAGATAAAGGACTAATATCCAGAATATACAAAGAGCTCAAAAAACTAAACAGCAAAAGAACAAATAATATAGTTAATAAATGAGCAAATGAATTGAACAGAAGTTCTCAGAAGAAGAAAACACATAGCTAATAAACACATGAACATAGGTTCAATATCCTTAACCATAAAGGAAATGCAAATCAAAACTACACTAAGATTCCATCTCACTCCATGCCAGCTTAGATATCATCAAAAAACCAGATTATAACAAATGCTGGTGAAGATGTGGAAAAGAAGAAAACCTCATACACGTTGGTGGGAATGTAAACTAGTAAACTGCTATGGAAATCAGTATGGAGGCTGCTCAAAAAACTAAAACTAGATCTACCTTCTGACTCTGCCATACCACTTTTGAACATGTAGCTAAAGGAGTTATATCAATATATAGGAGAGATACCTGCATACCCACGTTTATTGAAGCTGTGTTCATAATAGCTAAACTGTGGAATCAGCTGGGGTGCTCAACATACAATGGATAGGTAAAGAAATTATGGTGTGTGTGTGTGTGTGTGTGTGTGTGTGTGTGTGTGTGTACATGGAATATTAGTAAACCATAAAGAAAAATGAAATTATGTAACATGCAGGAAAATAGATGGAACTAGAGATTATCATGTTGAGCAAGATAAGCCAAGCTCAGAAAGCTGTCAGGCTAGAGGTGTGGCTCAAGTAGTAGAGAGCCTGCCTTGCAAGTTCAAAGCCTTGAGTTTAAATCCTCCCCCAGAAAAAAGCCAAATATTAACTGTTTTCACTCAGTTATATAATATATACCCAAAATGATGGTGATGAGAATAATAAGAATAATGATAATGGGACATGAATGTAAAAGAGGGATTGTCTAGGAGCAGAATCATCAGGAAGGAAGAGGGAGAAAGGAAAGGTGGAAAGGATACTGAGGGTGAAGAGCATCTATCTGTCCATCTATATAAACACACATTGTAAAGAAGAAGGGAGGAGGGAGGAAGTCCAAGAATATAATGGAGAGGTGAACTTGTTCAAAGTACACTATACATAACTATGGAATCATCACAATGAAATCACTGTGTAGTATTATTGTATGCTAATTCAAAAATAAAATAAAATTTTATAAAGAAGATGTAATCTGCTGTTTGGGGAGAGCATTTTGAGAATATTGGATGGGGGAGCAAATGTTTGTTTCCACAATCTATCTTTTGGCCAGTGGGATACCAAAAGCCCCATAATCAGCTGAAATACATTTGTAGATGGGAAACACGTTCATGAGGATAAAGGAAACTTGGGTTTGAATGCTTGGAGGAAACTAGCAGAATCACAGTAAACACAACAGGACCATATTACCCAGATGTGCAAACGTAGAAAAGTAAGTTAACGTTGTTTTGACTTCACCTATGCAACCATGAATAAATGGTGGGGGGAAGAGCTGGGAATGTAATAGCTCCTACCTCTTTGGAGGCTTTGAATTTGGCTGTTCAAAGAAACATCCTTACCTGCCTGCTTTGGTGATGATCATCTCGGTTCCAATGTCGTGGAACCTCTTCCAGAGGTCAGCACATTGCAGTTCCACCTGAATCTCCTCCATGGAAGACATGGTGGCAGGCACAGGACCTGTGGTTCCTGAGGCCAAATCAGGGTGAGTGCTGAAGGAGCAGGAGGTTCGCTCAGTAAGCACCTCAGAGTCTGACCCAGTGCTCTGTTCAGAATCTGCAAAACAAGCATCAAGCCTGAGGTGAGAAACTGCTGAGTGGTCCCCACGCCTGGCCCTAAAACAAGGGGTCTGCAGGGAGGTAGTAGACTTGAGCTGGGAAGCTCCGGAGCACAGCACTTGGGGTATTTTATTATTTTTTTAATGGTTTGTTTTTCTGATTTACGACCTTCTTTCAGGTTTCATGTTTCCAACATGACATCTGGCATTTTAGTAAGTTTTAAGAGCAGCTAAAGAAAATTGGCCCACAACAAACAATATACAGAGTACTAATGTCACCATGCTGAAGGGAATGAACCAGGGTGACAAAATAAATACCAGATTAAAGGAAAATAATAATTGCAGACTATCTCTAGATGTGCATTATACTATTTCATCTGTTGTTAACTACATTTTTTTTCACTCCACACCACTCAGCATCTCTGTACATCAGTCAGTTATTTTTAAGCATAGCAATTTTCCTTACCTATGTATGCCCTGATCATCAAAAGTAATGAAAAGTGGTTTGGAATCTTTAGAAGCACTTTGTCACAAATTTGAACAAATGGTTTTTTCTAAGATCCAATCAGACCATTTTTGATGGGGAAAAAAAACCTTCTGTTGCAAAGCAAGTATATAAGCATATGGAAAAAGTTACTGGACAAGGCGGTTGAAACAAAGGAATAAATGAGTTCAGGAGACACCTTGATTGGTTTCTGAAGTATGGGCAAGGGAGCCGTGATCCAAACAGGAACCAAATAAAAAGCTGCCATGCTGGGCCAGATGGTCCTTCCTGGCTCTTCCATAGTCATGAAGACAAGTGGGGTGTGGGAGAGGGAGGGAAGTAGAAAGATGGAGAAGGCTGGAATCAGATTTACAAGAGAATTTTCTAAAATTTTTTAAATCAGGAGCCCAATGCCAAGAATTTTAAGTTGTAAGGTTTTCCACATACAGGTTAGCTAGTACAATTTCTTCAAGCCAGATGATATTTCTGTAAGCCAACCCACCCTTAGTAACTAGCATTCTGATTATTTTCCTTATAAATAAAACACATACTTATGGGTAAAGGCTGAAAACAGTAACATACTATTTTGACAAATAACTTCTCCTTTTCTTTATTTTTTTAAATTTACATGGAATAATTATAAGAATATACAAGTTAGTGTTGATAATTTGATATATGTGTATAGTGATCAATCAAATTAACATTTCCATCTCCTTAAATATTTATTATTTCTTTGTGCTTGGGTGAGTTTGTTTTTTTTAATTAAAAGTACTTTAATAATGAAAACATAAGGAGAGTATATTAATGGGGTAACATGATGCTTTCATGCATATATTGTGTAATGTTTCAATCAGGTCAAACACATCCCCTCAAGCACTTATAATTTCTTTATGGTGAAAATTTTCAAACTCCTTTCTTCTAGCTTTTAGAAATGCACAGAATGTTATTGTCCTCTTTAGTCACCTTGGTGTGCAAGAGCACACCAGATCTTCTTATTCCTAGCTAAGGCAAAGATAGCACACATTGATCAACCTTTCCCCATCCTGCTCTCCTCTCTCTGGTAATCCCTAATTTCCTCTCTGCTTCTATGAAATCAACTTTTTTTTTAGACTTCACATAGTAGGGAGATCATGCAGTTCTTATCTTTCTGTGCCTGACTTATTTCATCAAGCGTAATGATCTCCAATTCCATCTATGTTATTGCAAGTGGCAGGATTTCATTCTTTTTGTGGCTGAACAGTATTCCATTGTGCATATGTACCACATTTTCTTTGTCTGCTCATCAGTTCATGGATACTTAAGTTGTTTCTATTTCTTGGCTATTGTGAATAGTGCTGCAGTGAACACAGGCATGCAGGTGTTCCTTCTACTCACTGATTTCATTTCCTTTGTACATATATCCAAAAGTGGAATTCCTGGATCATATGGTACTTCTATTTTCTATATTTGAGGAGCCTCCATACTGCTTTCCATAATGACTGTACTAATTTATATCTTCACCAATAGCATGCAAGGGTTCCCTTTTTTCTCCATCCTCTCCAGTGCTAGTTATCTTTACTCTTATTGATATAGCTATTATTACTGGGATGAGATGATTGTCACTGCAATTTTGACTAACCCTTTCCTGATTATTCTTGATACTGAGCATCTTTTCATAAAATTTTTGGTCATTTGTGACTCTTCTTTGAGAAATGTATACTTAGGTATATTGACAAATGACTTTTCATTGCTGTCAACTGTCTGACCTTCTTGAACATCAGTCTCTGACACTGAGAAAATCTAAGAAGAATGAGATCCTCTTGTTACCATCCTCACTTATCTCAGCTGTTTCTAGACCTACAAGCAATACACTGTATGATCTTTTATTTTTGTCTTTCTAGCCCTGACTCATTTCTTTCTCAAACTTAGGCACCATCTCTGAAGAGTATATCCCACAGCTTTGTCAAAATGCATAGGAAAGAAAGTACCCGTGGGTAACAAAGTGTCATTTGTCTTCATCTTCCCGAGTTCCTCATCCATCATCTTTAAATATATTCAGGTTGCTGCACAATTGAACTAAACTCCTAAATAAAGAAGAAATTCCTGATCAAAAATTTTAGTTTATCCATAACCACTAATCCTATCACTGGAGCTATTTTTGTTCCCCTTCAAGCACAGGTCTAAGATGGAGAGCTGCTGCTGAATGACAAGTCTCCATCCTAACCTGATTTAGATGGCTTTCAGCAAAGGTATTTCATCATTACTGAGCCACACACAGTAATTCAGATCCCCTAAGACATGGATTTCCAAATTTTCTTTTGTTCATGATATCCCATGAGTACCTGACATTATGAATATTGTGAATTATTCAAAAATTTCTCAGAACAAGATTTTTTAAATAGCCGTGAACTTACCTATGGGAGCAAAGTGCTATAACATTACCTTACCATACAGTACTATAATTGGAAGTACACATTTCCAATTATGGCCCAGCAGAAGTTTTAGACATACGATTTCTCCAGTGCATGTTCAGAAGGGAGGAAGGAGGAGAAAATGTATCACCACACTAAGTCATAAATACTTCATGATAGTCAAGTTAAGGTTGAGATTTAAATGGGGACTATGGCTAGAGAATTAAGAAATAAGAAACTCTACTATTAACTCACTATGTCATCTGAAGTGAAAAAAGGTGGGGGAGGATTAAAAAATATGACATTAAATAGATTAACAATGAACCTTGGCCCAGTCACTTAACCACAATTGGTCTATTTCCTCATCACGCAATGAGAACTGAACTGAAAACCTGTAGAGCTTCTCCCACCTCTGATGAATGAAGAATGCAAATGATAACCCAGGAAACCGCAATTAAAAGAATCAGATGTAAAACTGATTGTGCAAGATGGGTTCAGTGAGGAAAAGCACTGAGGGCCCAGATTCACATTATCATAAGAATTGAAGAATTGAATTATAGTTTCAGTCAAACAAATCAATAAGCACCTGAGAGCATGTGGCCTTCACTGAGGTACCATGTGGAAAATAAGAATCCCAAATCCTGAGGACTTTCCCAGTTGATATTGCCTAACTATGCTTACCGTGTACCAGAACTGTGCTAGTTTCTGGGAAATACCAAGTATACAGAGGGATCTCTCTTCAAAGCATTTATAACATAGGTGGAGACTGGGAGCAGTCATAAAATAATGAGAGATCAGTACAGATAACTACCACAGCTTTTCCCACCATTACTTATGGTCTCATAGAAGTCCAGAAAAGAGAGGGATTTGAGAGGGCTGGTACACTGCTGGGAAACCCATGTTTACTAGAAAGGAAATGAACAACTCTATGGAGATATAGGCAGTATTTACCTAGGAAGAGAACTTTCAGAAATAGCTCTTTGTATGTCTTAGAATCTCACATTCTTGGAAAGTAGCACCCAGGGACTTTTGTTACAGACTGTACACACCAGCCTGCATCTGCAATAACTTGCGAGCACCATGTAATTTTCTGTTGTTTGTTAGATATCATAATTTATAAATAAAATTTATGTTATATTTCATAGAGATTTTTAAAAAATAACTTTTAGGACTGGAGGTGTGGCTCAAGTGGTAGAGTACCTGCTTTGCAAGTATGAAGCCCAGAGTTCAAACCCCAGGACCACCAAAAAAAAAAGAAAAGAATGCAAAAAAAACCTTTTAGAAAAAGGCCACCTATGAGATAAGTTACCCTATAACACCCTTAAAATAGTAATCTCTGAGTCATTTTATTTTTGGTAAAAATAAAAGTTTAATCCTCTGTAAAAATACATTTCTAGGCTGGGGGCATGGCTCAAGTGGTAAAGAACCTGCCTAGCAAGCATGAGGCCCTGAATTCAAATCCCAGTACTGCCAAAAAAAGAGTACATTTCTAAATCATAGCTATATAAAATATACAGGCTAGACAGATCAATAATTTCATCTATTAATCAGTATATATAATCAGGTTATCTAAGTGATAAATTAAGAAACACAGAATTGGTTATTTAAGTCAAATTATGAATGGATATTCAAAAACACAATCAGTTCCTTAAAAATCAAAAATGCCTGTGTGTGTTTAAGTGCTTTTATTTTTGGATATTTGACTTCCTTCTTTCAGAAATAGCCACTAAGGACCTCATTTGAGGGCTGGGGGCATAGCTTAAGTGGTAGAGTGGCTGCCTAGAAAGCTCCCCACTACTGGAAAGCATCCACTTGGTATTATTTCTACCAAGGAAGTTCAGTAAATCAGGAACAAGTGACACTTAAATAAGGAAGTTAAAGGAGAAGCCTCAGAAAAGATACACAGAGCCAGTTACATGGTATGATCCTAAGGTCAAACTAACATATCTCTTACCATCCAATAAAAAAGTCCTTAAAAAACAGAGTCTAACCATCAGCTCATAGTATCAGTAACTTTCTATCCCTAGCTTATTTTTCTTTGAAAAATAGGTACTAAGTTCACACAACTTAGAACTAAGAACACTAAGTTCACACAACTTAGTGAGTTGAGGCTACTTTATTCATG